TTCCTCCTTTCTAATTTGGATGCCTTTTATTTCTTCTTCTTGTCTGATCGCTGTGGCTAGAACTTCCAGTACTATGTTGAACAAGAGTGGTGAAAGCGGACACCCCTGTCTTGTTCCAGTTCTTAGGGGAAATGATTTTAGTGTTTGCCCATTGAGTATGATGTTCGCTGTAGGTTTGTCATATATGGTCTTTATTATTATGTTGAGATATGATCCCTCTATTCCCACTTTCATGAGTGTTTTTATAAAAAATGGTTGTTGGGTTTTGTCTAAGGCATTTTCTGTTTCTATTGATATGATCATGTGATTTTTGTCTTTCAATTTGTTTATGTGACGTATCATGTTTATTGATTTGCAAATATTGTACCAGTGTTGCATCCCTGGAATAAATCCCACTTGGTCATGGTGCATGATCTTTTTAATATATTGCTGGATCCAATTTGCTAATTTGTTGAGGATTTGAGCTTCTATGTTTATCAGGGACATTGGTCTGTAATTCTCTTTCTTTGTAGTGTCTTTATCTGATTTTGGAATTAGGGTAATGCTGGCCTCATAAAAAGAGCTTGGAAGTGTTCCTTCCTCTTAGATATTTTTGGAATAGTTTGAGTATAGGTGTTAGTTCTTTGAATGTTTGGTAAAAACTCCCCTGTGAAACCATCTGGACCAGGGCTTTAGTTGCTGGGAGTTTTTTTTTATTTTTTATTTTATTTTATTTTTTTTTATTTTATTGATTCAGAGAGGAAGGGAGAAGAAGAGAGATAGAAACATCAATGATGAGAGAATCATTGATCGGTTGCCTCCTGCACGCCCCCTACTGGGTATCAAGCCCACAACCTGAGTTTGTGCTCTTGACCAGAATTGAACCCGGGACCCTTCAGTCTGCAGGTCGACGCTCTATCCACTGAGCCAAACCAGCTAGAGCTGCTGGGAGTTTTTTGATTACTGCTTCTATTTCATCAGTTGTTATTGGCCTATTCAGGTTTTCTTATTCTTCCTGATTCATTTTTAGGAGATTGTATTTTTCTAGGAATTTGTCCGTTTCATCCACATCATCCAGCTTGTTGGCAAATAGTTGTTCATAGTATTTTCTTATAATTCTTTGTGTTTTTGTGGAGAGGAAGAGAGAGAGAGAAACATCAATGATGAAGAGAATCATTGATCAGCTGCCTTCTGCATGCCCCACACTGGGGATGGAGCCTGAAACTCGGGCATCAAGCCATGACCTCCTGAATTCTGGATTGATGTTCAACCACTGAGCCACGCTGCCCGTGTGTCTTATTTATTTTTCACTGCTATATGATATTCCACTTACAGCTATAACTCTCATCTTGGTAATTCTGCCATTGTTGGACCCTTAAGTTGTTTCTAATTTTTTGTTTCAAATGCTGCTGCTTTATATATTTTTGCATGTCTTCTAGTATGCATAAGCACACATTTTTGTAGGGTTACTCAGAGGAGGAATTAATGGGTGTAGGGTTTGTGTATGCTCAATTTTACCAGATGTTGTACAAATTTGTATGTATGCCTGAAGTTCTTTTTTCTACTTCTTCACCGGCATTTGATGTTATCAAATCTTAATTTTCTCCAGCACAGTGGGTGTGAGAGAACATAGTGATTTCAATTTACATTTATGTTTTAAAACAAGATTGAACATCATTTCATAAGTTTAGGAGCTATTTATGCTTCCTTTTCTGTGAAATTCCTTTTTCTTGCCCACTTTTTTGTTGAGTTATTATTCACAGTTCTTTATATACTCTAGATATAATTCAGAATATGAGTTGCAAATATATTCTTCTAGTTTGTGGCTTGTTTTTCCATTCTCATATCTTTTTAAACAGAGGCTTTCATTTTAATGTAGTTGAATTTATCAACCTTTTCCTCATTTCAAGTTAAACATATTCTCCCAATATGTACAACATAAGATAGGGATCCAATTTTATTGATTTTTAAAATTTTACATTTAAATATGCATAACTGCTGGTTATTGAAAAATTACTTGCTTTCCCACTGAGCTGTGATGCCAGCTGGGAGTCCCAGATGAGTGCTTGTTTCTGAGCTCTTTTTTTTCCCACCAATGGTCAGTGTCTCTATCCCAAACCCACTGTCTACATTATACAGCTTTATGAAAATTATTGATATTTGGGAGAGCAAGACCCTATGACTTTAACAGTGCTTTGGCTATTCTTAGCTCTTTGTACTTCCATAAAATTGTTATTTTCAGATGGTCTAATACATTTTTTAAGTTAGATTCACAATTTACAAAAAGGCATACGGTGAAATTTCCCCATCCTGCCTTTCTTCTCTCAGTTCCCTCCTCAGAAGCAGTCATACTTTAGTTTCTTGTGCATTGTTCCAGAGATAACCTGAAATTGCATAGTTTTGTGTATATATTACCACACCCCTTTTTGTAGTTGCACAGTTCGTCAGCAGAGTTTATGTAAAATCTGTTTTCAATGAAATCTTTCTTTTTTAAAAAAATATTTTCATTGATTTTTTACAGAGAGGAAGGGAGAGGGACAGAGTGAGAAACATCGATGAGAGAGAAACATCGATCAGCTGTCTCCTGCACACCTCCCACTGGGGATGTGCCCGCAACCAAGGTTGTGCCTTTGACTGAAATCAAACCTGGGACCCTTCAGTCCGCAGGCCGACACTCTATCCACTGAGCCAAACCGGTCAGGGCTGAAATGTTTCTTAACAGATTCTGATTTATTACATATCCAAAAGATATAAATGTTAAACTTTGTACATTTTTAGTCCTGAATCATGCATTTTAGTTTCCAAAATACAAAATATTTATTTATTTATTTATAATCCTCGCCTGAGGATATGTTTTTATTGATTTTTTTGAGAGAAACATCCATGTGAGAGAAACATTGACCAGCAGCCTCCCGTACATGCCCCGCCTGGGGATTGAACCCTAAACCTAGTTATGTGCCCTGACCTGGACCCAAACCCGCCATCTTTCAATATACAGGACACTCCAACCAATTGAGCCACTTAACCAGGGCACAAAATACATATCATAACTTCTACTAATTATGATGGAAAAGCAACCAATCTCAACATCCTGACACTTCCTGGCTGTCTGCTGGACCTGTTTGTGTCTCTTCCTGAATCACATGAGAAGCACAGACTGCTTTTCTAAAGGAGAACATCTGGGTCACACTTGAGTCAGGAATAACATATTTACTACATTCTTACAATGTACTTTCTTACAATGTTGTTATAGGTAATAGCATCTGAGGTTGTCTGTCATCTAGTGTCCTATTTGTTCCTTTAGCTTTCTTTCATTTTTTTTCCTTCTGTGGATTTGTTAGTCCTGCCTCTGATTACATACCGACCAGTGTGTCTGCATCTGAAGCTAGCCAGGGTCTATCTCCTCCCACTCCTCAGATCACTTAGATTGTTTACCTCCGCCCCCTTCCAGAATTTCCCTTCATATGAGTCTGCTGATGAAGAACTCTTGGTTTGTCTGAAATTATCTTTATTTTACCTTGACTCTTTAAATACTGTATATTTTCTCCAGGTTTGGAATTCTACATTGCCAGTAATTTCTTTCAGCACATTTTGCTGTTTTCTGGTCTCCACCGGTTGTTGTGAAGTCAGCAGTGACCTGTCACCCTTTAAAAGTAATGCCTTTTTGCTCTGTTACTTTTAAGATTTTTCTCTTAGTTTTTGTTTTTCCATAGCCCAGTATACTATGTCTAGGGCTGATTTTTTTAAAAATATATTTTATTGATTTTTTACAGAGAGGAAGGGGGAGAGATAGAGAGTTAGAAACATCGATGAGAGAGAAACATCGATCAGCCGCTTCCTGCACATCTCCTACTGGGGATGTGCCCACAACCAAGGTACATGCCCTTGACTGGAATCGAACCTGGGACCTTTCAGTCCGCAGGCCGACGCTCTATCCACTGAGCCAAACCAGTTTCGGCTGATTTTTTTTTTTTTTTATAGTTTTCTTCTTTGTGATTTGTTGGGATTCTTGCATCTGTGTATTGCTCTCTTACCAGTTTAAGAAAATTCTCAGCCACTAATTGCTTCGAATAATAGCCTTCTCATTCTCTTGTCTTCTGAAACTATGATAAAATGTATGTTTTGTCAGCTTTCTCAGTCTACTGTACTCTTCAGCTTTCCTTTTTTCAAGACCCCCATGGATAAGGGGGGACTACTATAAGCATGGATGTTTTATGACCTCTCATACTTCCACCTCTCACTCAGGTGCCTTGTTTTCTTGTGTACCTGGTTAACCTTTATTGCGTGCTGCTTTGAAAAATAAGTGTGTGGACCTCCCAACACATAAAATGAAGGTGCTGTCCTCTAGAAGGTTTACATTTATCTGCCTGGTGCTTAGGGGTTTCACAGACCACCCCTGGGATAGAGTTTGGGCTGACAATTCTGTCGCCAGTGTTTACGCTCTCTTCAGGGTGGGTATGTTTTCCTGGTTCTGCTCAGCACCAGGGCAATGCTGCCTACAGGCTTCTGAGTGTTGGGGAAGGGAGGGCAGGTGCACTGCTGGTTAGCTCTTCCCTGCAGTATTAGTCTTTCAGGAGACTTCCCACTTCAGGTGGGCCCTGGATTTTGATTTTGCCTTTTGTGCTCTGTGAGCTCTCAAAACCTTGCTTGTTTTCACAGCTTAGTTTACTAAGAGAAAAGTGACCTTGATTCTCTCTCTTGCATTCTCTTAGATTTTGGCCTGGATATGTACCATTTTGTAGTTCTTTAATGCTTCTATGAGGATTTAAAAAAATATTTATCCCAGCATTTTAAAATAAACTTTGAACTTTAGAATATTTTTAGACTTACGGAAATATTGAGCAGATCATACAGAAGGTGCCCATGTACTCCAGACTCAGTTTTCTCTTTTATTAACATTTTACAGCTATGGTACCTTTGTCACATTATTTATACATCATTACAGGTCAATATTTATGTTATTACTTACTAAGCCCATAGTTTATTCAGATTTCTTTAATTTTTGCTTCTTTCTGTTCCAGGATCCCATCTAGTATAGTGTTACATCAGTCACTGCGTGTCCTTAGGCTCCTCTTGGCTGTGAGTTGCTGATTTTCCTTGTTTTTGATGACTCGGCAGTTGTTAAGGAATGTCAGTCAGGTATTTTGCAGAATGTCTTTTCGGATTTGTCAGATATTTGCCTTTGATTAAACTGTGGTTATATGCTTTGGGGGAGAGGAAGCTCACAGGTAAGATGCCATTCTTTTCACTTCCGACTATGGGACGTGTTCTCTAGATGACCTCACTAGGCTGAGGTAGTGTCTGTCAGGTTTCTGCACTGTGGGTTACTTTCCCCGTCCACACTGCATGTACAGCTCACACTTAAGGAATAGGGAGTTATGTGTCCCTTCTTGAGGGCAGAGGATTTATGTAGAACTCTTCTGTATGGGACATTTCTAGTCTCATTTATGTACACTATGGACTCATGGAAATGTATTTTATACTTTGGATTATAGTCCAATGCCACTTTCTCAGATTGCTCCAACTTTGGCCATTCAGAGCTTTCTCATTTGGCTTCTGTGTCTCTTTGACATGACCCCATCATTGATTGTTTTGTTTTTTGAGCGCTTCCTTACTCACTGGCACCAATGTTCTGCAGGCACATGCTGTCTGTTTTCTACCCCAGCCCTAGAACCAGCCATTTCTCCAGGGAGGCTTGATTCCTTTTATTGGAGAATGGTGTTAGAAACCGGAAACTACTAGTGCCCTTGCTCTGGAAATACAGGCAGTCCTCGGGTTACATCGGACTCAATGAACGCCGTTTCGTGGTTACGTCGCCATCTCCCATTTATTTTTTAAAAAAAAAAAGTTCCGTCATTTCGATGTATGTACGTATGTTTTTCTGTTTGTAAAGGCCAGGAATTGTTATCATTCTTTTACAATTTTTTTACTGTTTCACTTCATTACTGCTATGTATGTGCTCCATTTGAGTGATGTAGGTGCTTATGTAGGTGGGTTCCAACTTACGGCAAAAATCGAGTTACATCGCACCATAGGAACGGATTTCCGACAGAACCCGAGGACTGCCTGTACATATTTATATACACATAACTGGCAATAGTCCTGTATGGAATCATCTATATCAAGCTAAATATGGGTTCATCCTGGTGTGTCCAACTGTCATTCATTACTGCATGGATCATTCTAGACTTCTCCCCTTGCTTATTTGTAACCTCCCACTCTAACAGTGAGAAACCTGGTACCCACCATCTGCCATCTGTATCACAGTGTTTTCAGTTATTCTCAGCAAGCATTGATTGCTGGACACTATTAACTTTCTCCTTTTTAAAGCGAATGATAGAATATTATACACTGATCTGCACTTGAGTCTTTTACTGGGCAGACAATATACACTAGACACTGGTTCACACAGATCTACCTTGTTTTTGAGGACTATATAATATTCAAGTGCTTGATCAGAGGTTATGGATGTTCAAAAATATCACATTTTGTCAAGTTGCCCTCCAGAGATTGGGCCAATTTATATTCTCACCATCAGCACAAGTACTTGTTTTCCTAATGCCAGCTGCAAAGGGGAGAGATCAATATCAAAGTTTGATCTTTGCCAATCATATGTGAAGGGAATATGCTCTTTGTCATGCACAGCAAATCTCTTTTCCTAACTCTACAGAGGTACAGTCTACTCTGGAATTTTTACATTTCTATATGAAATTTTTACATTTTTATATAGTCTTCCAGGATTTTGTTCCATGCCTAGAAAGGCTTTTCTTCTTCCATGTTTTCTCCTGGTACTTTCATGCCTTGCTTTTTAAATCTCAGGCAAACAGGCACAATGAACACCTATATACATAGCAACGAAGCATTACTGAGAGGTGAAGCCCTGACCACCTGCCCTCCTCCCACCTCCCTTCCTCCTGGAACTAACCACTATCCTATCACCTCCCCTATAGCTGGTGTCTTTGAAGTTGTTACTGATGGGTTTGCTACTAGTCCACTCGGAGCTGAGGAGTTTGCACTGGAAATGTAAATCCACCTGTGGCTTAGTTTAGCTGACAGATATGCTAAGGCCAGATTAGCTATTACATGGCCCTCTTGTTTTGCGTATTTTGAAGTTGATACACGCCACACATGGTTTCACTGTGCAGGGAGATTTATCTCTATTGATACCTCCCAGTTTATTCTTTTTTGTTGCTGCAGAGTGTGATTTCGATGTGCCTCAAATGTACTTTACCAACAGCAGCAAGAAAATGGTTATTTAGGTTGTTTCTAATACTTTTCTTCTATAAACATCTTGATAACAGTGTGAAAAATCCTAAGGTAGGAGTGGACCTGCTGCTGGGTTGTATATGAAGAGCATCTGTAAATTTTACCCAGTTGTTCTGCAATGTGAGGGCCCATTCTCCACACCTTAGGTAAGATGTCAGTTCCCCTTCTCCCCCCCGAATTAAACTTTCCTAAGAACCAGATGTTCCTTCCAATGGATCCGATATGACAGTTGCTTTTTTGTTTACTCCTAGGCATTTTCCCTTGTCTGATGGCTATGACTCTCCAGAACAGTGCTAAGTAGTGGGCAGTGGTGGATGGTGAGTGATTCTGGTGTTTCAATACTTCTGGCTTATTTTTCATGTTAGAAAATGGGAGTTATAATCTGGATGTTAAATTTAATCAAATGGATGTTCCATGTCTGTAGAGTTGATAGGGCTTGTATTTATTAGCTTTATAGAATCATCCAACTATTCTTACATTCCTGATTCCTTTTTCTTTTTTAAGTGACAAAAAAATCATCTTAGGAAATTCATAACAGAGAAAAGCCTCATGCATATCCACCCCTGGCAGATAAGCACTATAAATAACCACCAAATGAATGAATTTCAGGACTTCCTTCAGTCCTATTTTCTATATTAACAATAGGAAGGTAGAATCATCTCTCTCCACTGCTACACAGTCTCTAAGCCTCCGACTTTTAAATCATTAATTATCTCTGAAAATTCCACTGATGGGAGACAGTAGAGCCAGGGCAGGAATATTTTATAAATCTTATCACACGAGCAGACCTTCTACCATTCTGCTCTCCAATAACTTACCGCCCTTCCTTTTATCCACATGAGGGCAAAACTGCTCAGGGCTGCAGGCCCTCAGTGCACATCACCCACCCCTCTCATAGAACAATCAACACCACACTGTGAACTTGTAGGATAGATTTATTTACCTGAAACCATGTCTGTGCAATGCTTGTTACCAGCACAGAAATAAACTGATCTCTATTTACAGTCTAAAGTCAAACATGCGTTGTGATAAATTGACATTTAGCATTTTATTAAGATAAATGCATCACGATATTTGTATTGCACCAACATCTGTCTACTGCTTCTGATTTCATTAAATAAGTTACACTTAATACAGCGCAAAAAAGCTGTTTGCACACTCAAAATTTAACAAGTTATGAACTGGAGGCCTACATTTTAACCATTCAACACCTGTAGTGTTCTCAATAAATTTATAAATAAGCAAAACTGTACAGGGCCAATTAAAAAGTAGCATGTTTCAATGACACTGTAGAGAAATCTGGCTACTTACAACTGAAGGCATGCATTACAACTGAATATTGAATATCGTACATTTATATAAGGTATGACATTTTGGACAGAGAAGCATGGAGACTTGGCTGATGGTGTCTAAGTTCTTGGATAAGGTTTCAGAACCCATTCTTCTTGTAGCAAAGAAACAAATTTTCTGGAGAGGCTTTCTGATTCATTAAGCTAAATTGTACATTTGTAATTATTACTTTGATTTAAAAGCTAAAAATCTCATTGGTAATACACATTTCCTCCACATAACACACAATGAGTTGGGGGCCTTTTTCCTACTTTTCTCCCCCTGCCTCCCAACTTCAATCATGCAGAGGGCTGGTAGATGTGTTGCTAAAAACACACATGCACGCAACCGAACACCCTTACATTTCTGCAAAATGGCTTAGGAAGCGGTTACTCCAGCATTGCTGAAAAGGAAAGAAAGAGGAAATCAGCTTTATGAAACATGGGGAGGAAATGTTAGAATAACTACTTAAGACTAAGATTAATAGTGATAGATGAAAAGAGAATATTCAGCTTGATCTTTTTAAGATTTTAAGACCAGCGTTTCTGATCACTGTCCCTGAGTCACTGCCCACACAGGGTATCATCTGGAAACACTGGCTTGGCAATGTAAATCCTTGGTGTCATCTGCCTACACAGCAAAGCTCCCTGGCTCACAGGAGAATCCCACCAGGCAGATGCTTAATCGCTTCAGGTGTTACAGGGGTGAGATGGGCAAGAGCAGGACAGTTTTCAGTTAGCAGTGCAGGGATATGAAGCAGAAGTGAGCAGTGTGGCACTCAGCGCCAAGCCTCTAGCTTCCTCCTCCCCATCCTTCCCCAGGGGCAGGCCCAGCCCTGCCTGTTCCCAGGACAAAATCCTGTACCTCAGCTGCTCATCACCATTCCCTTCCAAGAAAGAGGCCCGGTGGTTTTGACATAATTTGGTGGTTAAAATTAAAAGGCAATGGCCAACTTAGCTCGGTAGATGCAGCAGGCTCTGGGCTGTGGGTAGGTGCTTGGCAGACACTGCGCTATCGCTTGCGGCCTCATACTGCTGAGGGATGCCTACCACAGACATCCAGGGGCCCAAGGCCCCAGCTTGAGGGTGATGTGGTAGCAGCTGCTTGTGAGGGAGACTGGCAGTTGCCTTGCTTGTCTGTGAGCTCACGCTCTCCTGATAGAACATGAATGTATTATCTGTATTTTAAATGCAGAATGAGCTGCTGGAGTGGTGCCCCAGGGACGGGATTGTCATCTTCTGGGCAAAGCTGTATCCGAAAGGCCAGGTGAGCATGGGGTGGCAAAAAGCAGAACACTCTAATGGGATGGGCCATAGGCCCATAGGAAAAGTGTTTCAGGCAGGAGCTGCCTGGCAACACCTGCATGGTGGGTCTGAGGAGGATGCTGCCCCATCCAGTTACTGATGGCGGCAAAAGCAGTGCCTTCCTGTTCGGTGAGGAGGGGACTGGGTGGCTGCCGCTCACTGCAGGATGGAAATCTGAGGCCATGGGTGTGCCCACAGAAATACAATTGCTGAGGAGGCCTGCTGTGGAGCAGACACAGGGACTCAGCTGTCTGGGTTGAAGGAAGTGGGTGCCCAAACCACCTCCGTGGGCTGGATAGGCCTGAAGCTGAGAAACTACCAGGCAACACCAGCCCAGGGCCATCTGGGGCTGTGCATGTCTCCCACAGCATTCAACTTATTTTGTAAAGGCCACTAAATCAAGGAACTGAGTCAGTGAAAGTTGACTGTTTGGTTAGTTTGGTTTCCATTGAATAACACACCACCCAACGAACTCAGACATCCTGTTTTGGTTTGTAGCCAAGACATACTCCTGGCATTTGATCCACTCGGCCCTTTTCTTTTTACCACTCATGATGCTAAAATGGGCAAAACTACCCCCCTACATTATTTGCCAAGCAAACCAACCTCCCTTTTCTCTGAGAAAGGACTCTGCATTCAGTCAGTCTCCACCAAGCACTTGACCTCCTGACACTCAGACCTCTGGATTTGGCAGCAGCACCTCCTCATCCTGCCTGATACCTGCTAACTTTCCCCCTAAACGGCCAGCCTTTGCATCACATCTTCTGGTCCAGCAACCAGGGCCCAAACACCTTCACGAGAACACTCAGGGCCTCACAGGGAGGAAGCTGCCAACCCACTGAACACAAGGTGCTTCCTAGGCCTCCTTCACCCTGGCTGATAAGGCTGGTTGGCTGCTGCCAAGCAGAGCCCTGCCCTAATAACTGTGCTTGAATGTACCCTGCAGAGAGAAGACAAGTCTCGGCTGCAAAGGATGTGACCCAGAAGATGAAGAAAAGTGGTCTATTTAAGAGGAACCTACGGATATGTGAGTTCACTGCTTTCACTAGCTTTTTGCTTTTTAATGAACCAAGCTTCCGGGATGAGTCCTTGCAGCTAACAAAGATCAAAAGAATCACGATTTTTTGTGAACCTTCTCTCAGCACTAGCAAAGGCACAGCTCCCTCACAAAGCCTCGGTCTCACCAAATCAGAATGGGCTTCTCTTCCTCCGGGCCCTCCCCAACCAGTATCTGGCTATGCCACTATCTGAGGCCGCTGGCACAGGTAGCACACATATGCCCCCTGCTCTCAGGGACAGCCACAGAGCACAGCAGTGCCTGACACATGGGGCTTATTCACTAGTGTCACACGGTTAGCTCACTTGGTAGCAGTCACCTTCAGGTTAAAGCATCTGAATTCCAGGGAATACTCACGTTAGTTGATGGATGTTGGAAGGCATTGGAGGAAAACACCACAGTTAGGACTGTTAATGACTTATACACTGTTGGTAAGACTGATCTGGAACATGCATCATAGTACGGTGGTGGTGGTTAGTGCCACATTCAAATAAAAATAGTTCTATACAATATGTTCATTTGGTCATGTGCTATTTACAGATTTTACAAAACACATACACGCACATATACATACACACATTTGCCCTTATGTTCTCTACACCAGGCCAGCAGAAACTTGCATAAAATGAATCACAGATGACAGTGCCTATACATTAAAAAATAAAATTCTTACAACTACCTATGCAGCAGAACAGGATCCTTCTTCCCCGTGAGTACAGTAAAACTAAAGGTCTGAGCTAAGAACTTAAGAGAAAGTTGATAATTCAAGCTAGGCCATTTAAGAGTTAAAAACAAGGCAGTTATTTTTCTGTCCATTTAAAATGTTTTATTTTTTAAACTAGATTGTGAAGTGCCGCTGAAATAGGCAATGTTGGCAAAACAATGTCTGTTACAATAAAATACACTAGACATTTAAATAAATAACCTTAAAAACTATGTGAGGGGACATGAACCCAATCAAATCTGGAACAATGTTTTCTGCACAAGCGAGACCAGGCATACCTCTTGTTAAGCTGATGTAAACAGAACCATCGAAAGAAATCCTACAGGAGAAGCAGCCGAGCAGTGTGGGATCAGGGCCAAGAGTGGGGAGGGGTGGAGGTGAACCAAGAGGGGTGAGGGAGTGGCAAACCAAAAAATACTGACCGAGGTAGCAGTACTCTGCCCAGTGCAGAAAAATTGGCTTATGAATAAAAATTAGACTGTGATCTCAGATTAAATCCAGATGATCATGCAAAAGACACAATACATGCTATATCATTTTAGAAAAAACCACACACATTCATTTCCTAAAATCTGCTGCCAATTATTTGCTGACAATGTCTGCTGGCTCAACATTTTTTTTTTATACAAGGATGAGTATTAAACAGAACACTGTACATGCTTTGTCATCTACAAAAAAATATTTGCATAAAATAGTGTTAGTTCTCTGTACATGTCAATGGACACTTTAATTATGTGTATAAAAAAGGAAAATCTTGCCCCACTGGAGTCAGAAAAAGCAAAACAAAATCTAGAGTATGAAACCTCCTTCACCAGCCAATATGTTCATGTGAAAATTCAGCAGAAATAGACAGTTGCTTTAAACAATAAAAAAAATTAATTGATTAAGTTAAACATCTTCTTTATGTAAAACTGTCAGTCAAGACCAGAACATATCACTAAAGTTAGTGTCTGTGCTATACACCCAGATCACCAGGGGCATTGCGAACAGCACAAATGGCCAGGAAATCCCATCGGTGCATGCTGAGAATGAGCAGGGTTTGGTGGCAGGCTGCACACACTCTTTACCAGGTTCCAGGTAGTTGCGGGCCACAAACTTAAGTGTCTCGTCCATTAGAATCACAGGCAAGGACATTTTCAGCACCATCAGCCACTGGGTCAAATTCAGTGGTGTGATCTGGAAGATAAGCTGAAACACAGAAGCCTTGTCAAGCCCCCAGCCTTGCTGAAGAGGCAGCCAGTCCCCAGCCTGGGTCCCACCACTACTTACTGGCAAGGGTTCCACATAGAGGATTAGGAAGTGGAGCGACATGGACAGGCAGATGGAACCCACGAGCCAGATGTTCTCCCAAGGGGGCATCCTCAGCAGGGACTGGTTTTCAGACAAGCTAGACAAGGAGAGAGGTAAAAAGGCCCGTGTCACAAGTGACAGATGTTCAGAAATACGCTTCAATAAGCAGCAGCTAACTTGGCATTACCCACTGACCTAATTCTACTGACCAAAGTTTCTACTGTAGCAAAGTTAAGGAAGAATGTCCAGATGTAGGACAAACTTCCAATTTTAAATCTAGGCTTTGGTCTCAAAGCTACTCAATTGCCCTCAACACTTAGGCTATTTCTGAAATTTCCATTTTTGTCACTGGCTTAATTGGATGAGACCATTTGTTGCAATGCTAAAGGGGAAAAGCTCCTTCCTTCCCTGTGGACACTGGCATACAGGCGTCCTCCCCTGTCTCTTAAGGACACATGACGGCTCTTACACGTTGGAAGCAGGTGCTGCTTGTTCTCCTTTCTTTTTGGGAAGGAAGACTTTTCCTGTGATCCTCAATCAACGATGACACACACACACACACAATCCCACAGTGCCCTGCTGTCAGAGCTTTCGCCCAGCTTGCTGAGAAGATTCACTGACCTGTTGAGGGCGTTACACATCTCTATGGTTACTAGAACAGAGAGTGCCATTGTCATTGGGTACGGGGATTCAAAGATTGCACAATCCACACCTTCAAAATCTGGGTTGTCCTCTTTACACTGTAGGAAATGACTCTGCAACAAAAGCCCAATGATCAGCCAAGTACATTTCCTAAGTCCATGCACCAATTCCTTAAATCCAAAACACAGACCCACATAAGACCTCACCCTATTTTCCAGAGAAGCCAGGTCCTTCAGAATAATCTTTAATGCAACTGCAGATTGTTTGAGCCTTAAGATTATCTGACAGGCACCCAAACCACAGAAAGTTTAACATTGTTTGGGCTTATAACACTCTCCACCTAAGGCACAGAAAAGAAGATGACTACATACCAGCTGGTAGAAGGACACTCTTGGACCGCCGTCAGCAGCAACGAACCACCATGCAGCAGCACCCACAGTAGCAGCGCCAACATAACCTGGGAACAAACATCACGACAATGACACACACGGGTTTTGCAGCCTGCAGCATTCACTGTAGCTGCTGCCTCATGAGCCATTCACCAGGACAGATGAAAGACAAGGTATGTCAACAATAACTGAAACGTCTGTGCAAAAGCAGCTGGACCAAGGCTTCTGCAAGGAGACGGGTCTGTGGTACAGAAGAACCAGGCAGCCAGAGTTTGTGAGGAACTAGTTCTACTGGTTTGGTAGTAGGACCTTTACCATAGCCATGCCCTTCTCTAGTCCACAGCCAATACACAGTAAGGCTGCAGTTATGTGTTCTACAAAAAAGGCTACACAGTGTAGTAGGACCAGATTACACCATCACGACTTTTATGCAAACTGATACCATCAGCTGTACACTAATTTATATTAATTTGCTCCATCAAAAGCCTGGCAGGACCGTTATGTGGAAAGGCTATTAGAGCACTCAGTGCAGAACACTGAGCAACGAACGGGGCAATACCTGAAGGCGATTCTGGGAACCATTCCCCCATTACTTTTTAATTCAGCAAGTCTGTTACACAGAAGCAACAAGGGGTAGTGGAAAACACAGGGCCTTGAGAATAAGAGAATGTTCCACTGTGGTAGCATCCACAAAAGATTTCAGTGCACCCACCCTTTTACCCACCTAGTACATCAGTGCAGCAAGGAGCTGGTGCCCAGAGATAAGGCAGCTAACTATACATGTACTGATGCGGGTATTACCCAGTATAGGAAGAAATACAGAAGGACACAGGGCTGTGCAGCGTGCCATCACTTGAGAAAATAAAGACAAAATCTATTTGCTACAGCTCCTCCGGAAGGGCACCTGAGAAACTGTTACCACTAGAAGGGAAATGACTGACCAAGAGCCTGCCCACTTTATGGCAGGGTGTGCTTTTTGAATTTTAAGTCACCTTTCTATGGAGCCCTAGGGAAGTTGTTTAACCTCTTTGGGACTCCCTTTCCTAACCTATGAAATGGGGAAGAGAACCAGCACTTGGGTCAGGAGGATGAAGTCTAAATAGGTGACATTTGGAGAAGAGTCTGACCTGTGGCCAAGCTCCATGCATTTACCAACCACTGCTGATGGGCACACAGGTTGGTCCCTTTTCTCAATGAGGGAAAAGGGTCTTCATTCTTCTTATCTTAGTGATGTAAGGCCTGAGTCGTCCCTGTATCCCTTTGTCCATAGGTTAAATCTGAAAACCTCACAAGGATAAAGATGCTAAAACAGGGACTAAACTTTACTGTAAATTGAGTAGCAAAATGTGCTGTTAAGGGATGAATTTACAAAATTTTGGCTCACAAACATTTTGTTTATAAATCAACAATGTAAAACTACTCACAGCCAATAGCCAGGTAACGGAAAAAGAGCCACCCACTGATCAGTGGTTCCTTTGGGTTCCGGGGTGGTTTATTCATGATGTCCAGATCAGGAGGGTTGAACCCCAATGCAGTGGCAGGCAGGCCATCTGTCACCAGATTGACCCAGAGGAGCTGGACAGGAATCAAAGCCTCAGGAAATCCAAGGGCTGCTGTCAGGAAAATACTGTTTCCACCCAAGGAAAAAAGAGAAAGATCCCAAATTATTTTTGGTCACTACTCAAATAGCATCACCATGCCCTACTCCTCCATAAAAATTAATGGACAGCAACAATAACTTTTTTGGGGGCAATCATAAAAACATTTATTATACCCAATTTCAAATTACAGTTAACTTTTAGAAGGCCAAGAATTTTAGGTTATTTTATGTAGTTAATTTAAATCCATTTCTATGTGAAGGGCAGCCAGACAGGCCCCTCTTCCTTCACAAGGGCTTCCTTCATCTTGACAGGACCTCCCTCCCACCACATGCTCAGAGACCAAGGCTGCTGCCATAGGAAGAACAAATCTGGAAAACCGGCTACAATTTTAGATAAAGGAACACAAGTGACTTGTCTTATGGACCTACCAGACAACTTCCCCCACGTTTGATGAGATGAGGTAGCGGATGAACTGCTTCATGTTGTTGTAAATTGCCCGCCCCTCCTCCACAGCTGCCACGATGGTGGAGAAGTTGTCATCGGCCAGGATCATCTCGGAGGCAGTTTTAGCCACTGCGGTGCCAGAGCCCATGGCAATGCCGATCTCGGCTTTCTTCAGAGCAGGAGCATCATTCACACCATCTCCAGTCTGAAAGGGAATCCGACATCACTAAGTACTTCCCCTGTGACTGAAGACACTTATTCAGAGGGTACTGTTAGGTCGTAAACTATTCTAGAATCTCCCCTGCATGCAACACATAGCATGCCAACTACTGGTCAACAGAATCCTAGAGAGCCCAGATCATGACAAAAACCAAGAAATTCCAAGTCTGGGAATTATTACTAAAAATTTAATGGTCAAAATTTGTACATGTCCAAAGATACTCACCATAGCTGTAATCTCATCAAGAGACTGAAGGAATTCTACGATTTTAGACTTGTGGGAAGGCTCAACTCGAGCGAAACAGCGGGCATTCAAGCAGGCATCTCTCTGTTGCGACAGACTGAGCTCGTCAAACTCCCGACCTGTAAAAGCCTTTAACGTCACATCCTCGTCTTGTGTAAAGATGCCAATGCGACGACAGATGGCCACAGCGGTGCCCTTGTTGTCCCCCGTGATCATGATGACCCGGATGCCTGCCTGCCGGCACAGCTTCACAGAAGAGGCCACTTCAATTCTCGGAGGGTCCAGCATTCCCACACAGCCAACGAAAGTCAAATTGGTCTGCACAAAAGAATCACCTTATCTTGAAACAGGAAGATCTGTTTTTTCCCCTAATGAGAAACAGGGCTCCTTATACATTACAGAGCAAAGGTTTCTTCTGCATTTTCTTATGCTAAAGCCTGTACCTTTGACTCTTATCTAAGATTAATATTCACACTCTAGAGACATAAATCCAATGAAGAATAGTATTAATTCCAATTAATAGGAAACGATTAAATACATCGCTACATTCTTGTTATCAAATCATTCCTTAACTTTCACGACAACAATATTCTGAAACGAGGGGAAAAAAACATTCTGCGGAATAAGCATTGCGATTTTGGCCACTTTAGTGCCCCATAGTACCAAAGCTTGTTCCTTTCATTCAATGCACCAGAAAGTAGGAGTCCTCAACATGGATATTTTGACCTTTCGCTAACTAATGAATGTTTTTATTAAAAAGGCATGCTCTCCCTCCAAGGAGCATGCCCTTGCCATTCCCTTCCCCCTCTCCTTCCCAACAAGTAAAAAAACATTCCCAATTTTTAAAATATCTTAATTTACATGTGAGTTGCAAAATAGGTTTTACAAGTTTGTTATCAAGTCTTGATAATTCTACTTTGTAAGTAAAAGACTTGTATTAAATTGTTAACTATATATGTTTGAAGCAGCAACCTAAATTATAATAGTGATGTATTTGGCTGGCAGAAAAATAACCACACCTCTGTCTTGGCAAGACTCATTTGACCTTTTACCAAAGAAGTGCTGTTTAAACACAATGAATGTGCAGGGTGTGGGTGAAAAAACTTTTCATTAGCTAACCTCATATTTAATAAAGTTGGCAGAGTCCTCAAGCTTCATTTCTTCTCTTCTCAGTGGGTTATCATGAGTGGCCAGAGCCAGGCATCGCAGTGTGTCGCTGCCACTACCCCAATCCCGAATGACAGACATGATCTTCTGCTTAACTCCAGGGGTCATAGGCACTTTTGTACTTCCAACTCGAATGTGGGTGCACCTGTCAATGACACCTTCAGGAGCACCCTGGAAATAAGTTACAGATTTAGGTCAACAATTTTATTTACTGGCTCATCCGGGATCCTAATCCTAGCAAGAACATCTCAATTGCAATCTGCTGTACTTGCCTTCACGAACATTTTGCTCATTGACGTCCGGCTTGGCTTGTTTGGTGTACAATAAACCGACATTGATTTTCTATCGCGTGAAAACTCTAGAGTAAATTCTTTTTTCATCAACTGTTTAATGACCTATGAAGAAAACATATAAAATACTATTGGATGATTTCTGTAAATTTTTCACTTGTTCAACAAATATTCATTCAGCACCCATTATGTGACAGGCACTGGGGACAGATAGAAAATTGATGTTTCTCTCTCTCCCCCTTCTCTAAAATCAATTAAATAAAATTTAAAAAGTAAAAAATAATTAGTTTGCATCTTCCTTTTCTTGTCATGTCCAGGTCAGATTTGGGTATCAAATGAGATGAGAAGCATTTCCTTATACTTTTTCTCAAAGTTAGTATTTCTTAAGTGTCTGACAGAATTCGGGCTGGAGAAT